TCACTTTGGCGTACTGTCCACCACAAAATAAGCTTGTTAATAGGAGGTGCCGATCTGCCTGGAACTTTACAAGCTCTTACAGAAACCACATGGTTTTGAAAGTAGTAGGCATGCTGAATCAGGCAGCTTTCTAATCCCACCATAAGGCTGACTCATTTTCAATCTATTTTTTATCTGATAAAAGATCATTTGTCTCTCTGTAAGATTAAGGAATAATTATCTTAGATAACTAGTGTTAGTTTTCTCTCTCTCTTGTTGGGGGCAAAATAGATATGGTTCTACCCTCATAAAGGTTCAGACCACCTGGAGATACATGCATTAAATAGAAAATTATAAAATAATACATTATGCTTGTGATTGGTACCACAGTAAAAAGGTAGAGGGAACAATAATATCACATAACAGAGAAATAATATCACATAGGGACAATAGTATCATATAACAGGGATATAAATAAGGATTGCATTTGACCTCAACTAGATGATAAAAGGTTTCCCCAACAAAGTGTAAGTGAGATTTAAGGGACAGATAAGTAGGCATAAGGCAAAAGGGCCAGGGGTGGAGTGAGCATAGGAACGACCCAGGCAGCACCTCCCATCCCTGCCAAACAATGCAGAGGTGCTGCAGTTCAAAGATGCAGTGGAAAAGATAAGAAGAGCCACACTGCAGGGTCATGGGGCTCACATTAAAGATTCTGAATGTCATCTTAAAATAAGTGGGAAACCACTGGAGCATTTTTAAAAGGTAATAGTTTTATTTCTGTTTTTGATACATCACATTACTTGTACACTGGCTGGGAGGGGGCAAGACTGGCTGCAGGAAAGGAAGAGACCACTGCAATAGTCCTGGCGATGCATTATGTTGGGCACAATGTTTCTATGCCCAAGAATGGAGCAGTGTCCTCAGTGAAAAGAAGTGGAAAAGATCTAACAACTATTTAGGAAGCAGAATCAACAGGACATGTCCATTTGTCACATCACAGGTGAGAAAAAAGGCATCAAGGACAGTTTCTACATTCCTGCCATAGCAATCACAGGCTGTGGCATCATTTACTGAGAATGAGCATCTGGGGGGAGCAGTTCATGCACTGCTGGCAATGTCCATGAGCCAAGCAAGTGGGGAAGCCCAACAGACAGTTGGCTATGCTGGTCTAGAGATCAGAAATCAGGACTAGCTTCAATACGGAACATGTCCAAGTACTACATGTGGCCACCGAAGAAAGGAGCAGGGGAGTTCTTTGCCTATTAATGTTTCTACCCTGGTTCATAATGTGCTAAGAAAAACATTCCCTGCATCTCTTACTGTATAATGGAAAGGGTAGCAGGCATAAGATGCTATACAAGAACGAAGGAAGAGAGACCTTCCCCCAAATACTTGTTCTTACTTTAAAGAGCTCAGAAATGGAACCACACATACATGAAAACTTTATATCTGACCTGGCCGTCCAAAGCAGTGAGGAACGGAGTGCTTTAGGTTATGTTTATGGGAAAAAATGTGAAACTGTACCTGACTACCTCATCTTAGACAGAAAAACCAATTCTGGATAGATTAAAGACATACATGCCACAAAACTTTTTAGAAGAAAATAAAGGACCGTGCAATATGATGCATTTCCTAAACAAGACAAAAAAGTACACACCATCATGTAAAAGAAAATATAATTCACAGATATTAAAACGCAGACTTTTGCCTAACAAGAAAATATCAAGAATGTGAAAAACTATTAACTAACTACAACTAACTATAAACTGGGGGAAGATCATTACAACTTATAACTGATAAAGGAGAACATACACACAATTCCTACGAGTCAAGGACAAAAGGCCCAATGTTGCAATGTTTTGTACTTATGTCATTTTTGCAAAAACAGGCAAGTGTATCACATAAAGAACAAACCCTCTGGTGATGGTAATAAACTACTGGAAAAGGGGAGAAGTGGCCTCTGTTCTACCTGCACAGCAAGTACAGAAGCAACCACAACTTCTTTAGAGGATCATCTGCCAACATCCATCAAAAATACTTTTCACTTGTACTTCTAAGAATTATTCAAGATATAAACTCTGAAATACGTAACAAGATCAGTCAAGGACATATTCCGTAATACTGTTTCAGTAGCAGAAAAGTAGAAACAACTCAAAAATGTCCAACAATAGAAGATAAGGGTAAATAAATTACATCCATACACCGGAATCTGATGGAGTCACATGCTGACAAGGAGCTAAATTCATTGTTTTATGAAAAAAAAAAATCAAGATGCAGAATTGAACATTTAAAAAAGGGAAGACGGCTAGAAGGTAGAGGATGGAAAGATATTCATGCACTTAGGCACAGATAATCTCTGCAGGGTACAAAAGACACCAGTAAAAGGGATGGCTTCTGGGAAGAGGACTAAGGGACTGGGGCTAAAAACAAAGTATTTCCCCCTCATTCATTAGTCCATAGCAGCTTTAATATGGATCTTAAATGTATGTAAGCATTTCCTTCTCAAAAATAAAATCCCCTGATGAGAAAATTTCGGCTATTCTCAAAAAATACAATAAAACTATTAAGCAAATGATAGTATATGCATACTTATGAATACTATGCTCAGTAGTTGAAAAGTACAAATAAATCTGTATGCATTAATACAGAACTAGTCAAGGTTTCTTTTGGGACAGTGAAAACACTCTAAAAGTGACTGCAGTGATCCATGTCTAACTCTAAGAATATACCAGAAACTACTGAATTGTATACTTTAAAGGAGTTACTTATATAGTATATGAATCATATCTCAATAAAGCAATTAAAACACACACACACACACAGAGGCACGTGTTGTGTAACAATGGAGATGTGTTCTGGGCAATTTGTCAGTAGGAGATTTCATCACTGTGCAAACATCATAGAAGGTACATAGCACTAAACATCTAGGCTATGAGGTATAGCCTATTGCTCATAAGCTGCAAGTCTCAACAGCACTTGACTGTGCTGACTATTGAATACTGTAAGCAACTGTAACACAGTGAGTGGTATTTGTGTATCTAAACATTACCTTAACATAAAAAAGGTACAGTAAAAAATGTTACTATAATCCTACAGGATTATCATTGTAAGTGCGGTCCATCATTGACCAAAATGTTGTTATGCTATATATGACTGATACACAAGAGAGAGAACAGGATTCACAAACTATAGCACAAAATTTGGTCCTTATTGTTTTTTTCCTTTTTCTTTTTCCCCACTGTTGGTTTTGATAAATGAAGTTTAATTGGAAAACAGACATATCCATCAGTTTACACCTATCTATGGCGGCTGTCCTGCTACAATAGCAGAGTTGAGTGGTTACACTAGAAACAGCATGGACCACAGAGCCTAAAATATTTTGCTATCTGCAGACCAAAAGACTAAAATAACTTTAAGTCATACAGCTGAATAAAAAAAGTTGCAAAATTATATAGTCAATACATCATTTATGTTCTAAAACCATAAACAACATAAGACAACATCGTTTCTCTGAGTACATATAGTACTATTAGGAAACACTCTAGAAGGATAAGCACCAAACTGAAGTTACACCCAAGGTTACTTCCTGGCAGTGGCTGGCAGACAGGACTGGGTATTGGTCAAAGGGACTTTGGCTTTATTTGTAATTTATTTGAAGATTTGTTTTAAGGATGCAACATTCATGGGTTACCTAAATAATATTTTTAAAAGTGAGGTTGGTGCAAGTTACGCTAGAAATAGAACTAGGTAGAATAAAACACGTGAGCTCTGATCTTGGTCTTAATTTTACTAAGCACCACTAGAATTTTAAGTGTTCTGATCCTACGCCCACCTTTTAGTTTTCAGATCTTTATCCTGGCATTCCACTTACATTTCTCCTTCATTAACTTCATAACTGAGGTTTTCGAAAGTTGAAATTACATGGGAGATAGCCACAAAGTAGGCCCAGGCCAGCGAATTTTAGGGTCCTGTCAACAGTCAACTATTTCAGGCATATAATTCCTATTTCAGGGTCCTTCTCTTTCAGAGAAGACATGTGACTACTCCTAGTTTCAGGATGAAGATCATCTTGCAATTAGTTCATGCTGATAGTCTTGTAATCACATATTCACATAATTCATATGACCCTCATGAGAGCTGTGGGACTTTCAACATTTTTCTGCACTTCAGAATACAAGTTTGGCTGGTCTTATAATAAAGTGTACTTTAGGAAGGAGACGAAATCACTGCTAATGAGGAATTCAGGCCCTACCATGGTACATGTGTAACTTTAGACCCAACCAAGCTGCTTACCACCGTAACTTACAGAGGCAATGTGGGGGGTACAAATGATAAAATATATGTAATCGATTTTTAGGAAAATTAAGCTGAAATTCAACTGGAAGAACTAGCGAATTTAGGATAATTATTACTTTAAAAACCTTTTGGGAATGGATAGTTTTCCAAAGCAAAATGTCAAATGTAGTTTCCAACTGCATTTATTTAAACAAAATTAGAACTCTGATAACCAATTATTTTGTAGAATATTTACAAACTATATACAGCTTATGGAAAAGGCAAGTGCTCTAAATAAAAGAAAACACCCAAAATAAAAAGAGGCAAATTCAAAGGACAAGGTATCACTGGGGCCATGATATTTAAAGGAACCTGTACTATTTGCTTGAGTAATTATCAACAGGGGAAACTTGTGCAATTCTCTAATTGCAGGTACCACAGCCATTTCTGCTCCTGAAACAAAAGTAGCTAGACAGCCCCTGGTAGCACTGCTTAGTTGAAATAACCCGGGAAAATCTGGCTGTACAGAAACTACAGTTGTAAGAGGGAAAAATCCCATTCATGAAACTGATCTTTTAAACAGACTGGTTTTAACAAAACCCAATATAATGGTAACATCTTCACAAAGGAGAAAATAAGATGTTGAGTATTAAAGAGAAGCATTAAAAATTACATACATACATGCCTGAAATTTCATTTTAAGTTTCTTCTTGGGAAAAAAGATCTGCTTCTAGTAAACTCACCTCCGTGTTCTAGAAATACTCGAACACATCTTTCCTTTCCTCTTGCTGCAGAGAAATGTAGCAGGGTCCAGCCATTAGCATCTCGGCCATTTGGAGAATAGCCTTGTTCTAACATCTTCCGCACTGTGTGAACATCGCCGGCAGCCACTGCAGCCTGAATCTGCAATTCTTCCTGGAGTTCAGGGTTCCTTCGACAGTGGTGGTGTAACATCCTAGCTGAGTCCACTTTTTACAAAAGATTCATTAGGTCACAGGGATTAGCCTTTAAGGGAAAGTAGAATATATGAAATTGAGAATACTTAACTCCTGAATCCGTCTCCATTTAATATCATAGAATTTTCCATTGGTTAAATTAGTAAACCATATTCATGATAGTTTATAGTACTAGTTGACATGTAGTTAAGACAAAACTTTCAGTAATTTTCTAAGATTATAAACAATTGCTAAAGGAAAGCCAGGCATGCACATTCAAAACTCCTGAAACAAAAAATTGTTTCTGCAGCCTCCTGAAAACTTGAAGCAAAGAATCTATGAACATAACAGCATTATCATAGGTAAAATGAGAGGTGACAGTGGGCAGCTACAGGATGGGAGAGGTCAGAAGAATCAGATTAACCTGTCTTAGGAGTTCTAAATTATGTGATGCACCACAGAGAAGATTTAAGTTACATACCACTCAAAATTCTATCACAGTTAACAGTTAGTAACCATGGAGTGTCAAACAGACAAGCAATATACTATGAAGACTGAAAACATGTAATTATGAAAAGGAGTTAAAAGAAAATCTTTAGGTTGGTTATCTAAAGTATTTTAACACTATTTTAGTTTTAGCCCTAAGTGTGTAAATCTGTAGGGAGAAGAATTAGGCCCGTTTAAGTAAATTAGAATGAAATGTTTGGATCGTATTTACCTTCCTTTTGTTTATTTCTATTTCCATCCTCCCCACTTTGCTATTTGATGCTCATTTTACTATCCCTCTTTTTTTTCTGTCACATCCTCTTCTGTATTTTTCTAATCTCTGTTTTTCAGAAGTTTTACATTCTAAATATTCCAAGTAGCAAGATTATATAACTCTATGAATTTAAACAGTTATTTTAAAAGAAAAGTAGTACACTGAATTCTCTAAAAGGTCACAAAACAGGGGCGGCGCCTGTGGCTCAAAGGAGTAGAGCGGCGGCCCCATATGCCAGAGGTGGCCTAAAACTGCAAAAAATAAAAATCAAAAAAGAGGTGTATACTAAAACCCAAAATAAAATGAGACCTTCATACAAATAGAAAAAGTTCAAGTTGAAATGGTGAAAGCTGCATCTTACATGTGTACAAAAAAATTTTCATTGTGTTTTTAAATAAATACAGAAACCTAAACTAATGATCTTTTAGGAAGCCATTCTAACTGGGCTAATTTGAAGGAATAGATCAGATTTACCTCTTAATTAGTAGCTTCCATTTCTAAAAATAAAAAAAAAAAAAACACTGTAGTAAAGCCCTTTAAAGACATTTTGTTCACATATGTAGGTTAGACATCTCAGGATAGTCTTGGTACTGATAATTTCTCTTGCAAAACTTATTATAGACTATGCAAAGGTAAAGTTAAGCCTAACTTAGGTCAAATCATCAGAATTCAAATATCCCATGTTGTTTTATACATAGAAAATAGTGTCATTACATACTCACACATGTCACTAAGTGTTATAGTTTAAAAATGTCAAGTCACTGCAACATATAGCTCTTCCCTCAGAGAAAATTGAGAAATAAAAGCTTTGTTGACAATGTGTTTTCTTAATAAACAAGATTCTCACTTATCTCTTCACTTAGTTACTTCACTAAAATTGTCTCTTGTATAGAAATTTTAAGATGAGAATCCTTTCGGAATGTATTTTGGCTTATTCTCAGTACTGTAAGAAGAAATGTTGAAGACCATCAGAAGGAAGTAATAGAAACTATTACCATATGCTCACAATCACCTTTTACAGATTTTCTTTCTTAATGGAATAATGATGTTGACACTTAAATGATGTCTACCAAGCAAGAAAAATACTAAAACAAGAACCAAACTTGTTTTAGTGAATGGTATATTTAGTATACATGAACTGATTTAAAAGGGAAAAGTAAAAGCTAAAGTAAGTTTTTCCCCAAAACAGCACAGATGACCAAGGACCCTGACTCACCTTACCTTACAGAAGAGTGCCCTTTCTCCTGATATACGGATTGCCTAACAACCATTGTGCACATACAGCATCATGGGGAGGGGGCTCACAGTGTGCCCAGACTGCAGAGCAAAAAAGCCTTCTTAACCTAAAAACAAAATAACAATCACAGGAAAATTCCTTAAAATAATAAAGAATCATAGCTGTCTGCATAGTCTACTCTTTGATGCACTTAAAGTTCAGTACTTTTACAACAAATCTATAGAACAGAGAAAGAACTTAGGTCAATTCTTAGAGAAAACGATCTCACATAACATATGTTCATTTCTAATAAACATGATGTAGTTTTAGGATATTTTTCTCCTAAATGCAGTTTTATGAAAAAGAGTAAATAAAGAAAATAAATAACATATTTGGAATTTGAATGCAAGTACAGATTCTTTTTTTTCCCCTACTGAGAAAATATTTTCAGATTTACGTTATTTGAATCACTTTTTAACAAACACTATCAGCTACCTCCTCTAACTAAAACAGGACTCAAACAGGAATATGTGTGCATTCAATACAGCAAGTGGCCAGGGTGAAAATGTAATCTATGACAACTAAAAAGAGACTGTGTCTTTTAAAATGCTAGTTCTTTAAATGCCCCAAGGGCATACAGTCAATCATTTTGAAATTGTTATTCCTTTACGCATACTCCAAACTAGATAAAACATTAACAACAGTCTTTCTGGCTTCCCCACATGAACTCTGAAAAAACTCTACAACTAAAAGGAAAAGGCTCTTTCTGCACATCGATTGAACCCCAGCTCTGTTAAACTCCATTAAGGTTAACTTGCAAAGTGACTTCCACGTATCCCACCAGAATCACTCTAGGAATTATATATTGGGAGAACTATTACCCCAACCCCTGGTGGTAGATCTGATAAACCCCTCATCACTTAAACTTTCAGACGAGGAAATGCTGGGCCACCTGGCAACCTGACATGCTGCAGTATAAAAAGGTTGTAGGTACTGCTGACGGCACACCAAACTTTTCAACCAGTCTAAATTAGTGCAGTCCACTTCTACCTTTTAATCTCTTCACATCTTATTTTTCCTTGCCAAACTTCTTCAAAGAGTCTGTCAACTTGAACTTGGAAACATAATGTGAATGTGATTTAAAACTGTACCTATTATCTCTAAATAAATGAAGTAGACATAATCAGAACTTCTATAAAACATGCTGAATAATCCTTACAGAAATGGCTATTCTAAGACTGAGGCAAGAAATAATACAAGATGAGCCTGAAGCATCTTATAGAGCTAGAAAAGAGGGAAATGCTTAAAGAAAACACAGGGATGGGGTGGGTATGGCAAAGGGACACAGGAGATAACTGAAAGAGCTCTCCATGACCAAAGATGGGACAATCTGAGCAACAGAATAAAGTAGTATTAGATTATAACCCAAAGTATAAAATAAATATCAGTAAGTCCATTCTTATGAGTAACAGACTGAATAAAGGGTGAAAGAAATAAATCTTCTGTTCAGAATGCCAAATAATTTGTGTAGATAGTTCCTTCCCAAGGAGATGATAAGCATGTATGTGCACATTCATACGTTACTAGAAAAAGCTGGGTCTGGAGCTATGTGGGAACTCTAGACTATAATTTTTCTGTAATTTTAAATGATACTAAAATTTTAAAAAATGCAAATCAATGGCTCCAATTATGAGCCTCACACATTTTCACAAATGAACGTGATGAAATTATGTTTCATAAGAGTTACTTCTAAATTTCAAGCACTAACTCCATTGGCACCTTCTAAGAGTGTCTTCAGCACCCTCTACCTCCCTGGGGAAGTGGAAATGACCCTATAAAATAAAGGAAAATACCAAAGGAGGTAATTTTCTAAATACGTATGTTCAAGGTAAGTTGTCTTAAACTAATGATAACTGTGGACTCAGGAACTATTGCAGACTCAGGAATGGCTGATACTCTTGAGTATGCAATCTTTAGAAATTCCATTCTAAGTTTAACAGTTAGAAATAAGAAAAAAGCATGCAAACAAAGAAGATGTTCTTTTCTAGTCTGCATGAGAACGAAAAGAAAACAAGATCCATTTAACACCTGTCCAAAAGTATACAACCTTTACCAAATCTGAACACATTTCCTCAATTTCCTTTGGTGTTAATAATTAGACATTAATGGTTTTTTGCATATTATTTTCACTAAAAGTCCACACATTCTTAGATTAAGTGATACAAATTAGAACTGCAATTTCTGATTTCACATAAACTAGAAAAAAGATGATGGTCTGCTACTCAGAAAAAGCAGTAAGCATTTCTTTGCAAAGTAAACAAAGATTCATGCTAGTAAGGAAACAAAATCAGCAACTTAAGGACACTGGCTCTAAGAAAGAAGTTACCAAGACTTAAGAGGGAAGATGGATGCAGAAAAACTACAAAGCCCAACCTTAAAAGGCTGAGATGCATGATGATGAGCTCTATATGTATGACAAGAGTCTGGAACCCAAAATAAAGTAGAACTGTTATATTAGTATCACTCAATATAGCATAGAGTTAATGTTCCAAAACAAACGGAGTTAATGTCCTCCAAATTACTGCCTCTGTGCAATGTAAAGATTTATTATCATGCACAACTTATCTATGACATATATAAGTTTAAACAAAAAAACAAATCATCTTCATGAAGTGTGTATGAGGCAATAGAGAAAATTTTAGTGTTAACTTATCCAGACCCAACTCAAAGCTTAAATAATAAGTATTATAAATGATAAGGTATTATGAATATTATCGTACTAAGTCATGTCTGCCAATAACATCTTTGCGGCCTTATACCAGTGCTTAGAAAGTTGGCAAGAAAGGAGACAATGATTCTATTTAAGGAGTTGAGAATAAAATGAAAGGCTAAAGGTCAGGTATTAGATGTGCTAATATAAACTATATCTGACTTGAGACTTTTTAGGGATGGTAAGTACTTCTATGTCACCAAAGTTAAATGTGAACAACACAAACAGATCATGCATGTGTCATAATATTAAACAATCGGTATAAAGGATATAAGTATTTCCTATAATATACAAAGACACATGACTGAATGTCTTCAATTAACATCAATTATTCTGTGATTATAAATCTACTGTATTTGGTAGATTACCAAATAAATCAGATTTTTTTTCCAAAACCACAGGACCAGCAACAGAATTAACACAAAGTTAACTGCAGATTGAAAAATATGAACTACCTATCTGGCTATGTTGGTAAATACTGAACTGAGAGACTCACTCCCTGACCAAGAATTTAACCCAGGCTGCAGGGGTGAAAACAGAATTTTTTTTTTTTTTTAAGAAACAGAGTCTCACTTTATTGCCCTTGATCACAGCTCATAGCAACCTCCAACTCCTAGGCTTAGGTGATTCTCATGCCTCAGCCTCCCAAGTAGCTGGGACTACAGGCGCTCGCCACAACACCCGGGTATTTTTTGTTGCAGTTTGGCTGGGGCTGGGTTTGAACTTGCCACCCTCAGTATTTGGGGCCGGCGCCCTACTCACTGAGCCACCTACTCACTGAGTGAAAACAGAATTTTAATCATTAGGCTTCAAGGTGAATTCAGGTTGGTAAATAAATACCCAAATTAAATATTTTAAATGTTTGGCATAATCTAAATCAAATACTCTCAATCATGCTAATATTAGAAATAAAGTTGCACACAAACTTTATGGCCACCCTGTATAACAGATGCTAACAATTTATACATATTCCCTTATCTTAGAAAAACCATTAAAGGACAAGGTGAGCCATGAAGTACTATTTAAGTAATGAGAATGAACTGGCTGGGGAGGAGAAAGCAG